GAGTCCGCTCATACTGAACTTGGATCATAAGGTTTATTCATATCACAAGCTTCAGCATAAGTGACAGATGTCATGACATCCGGAGAACGGCGTCCCAGATTGCAATGGCCGTTCTAACTTCTTCTTCGTTTAGCCCCTACTTATAAACAATGCAAAAAGATGGGTGGCTCCCTCTTCTGGCCAATCACCAGTCTCCCCTGGGGCGTCACCCCACAAACGCCACATTTGACCTAACATAAACAACATTCCATTTCTTCAAGAAAAACATTTAACAAAGGCATAATCCCAATACATGACATAGGCCTACACGGTAGGGAGGGATGTGTTGAGGAAGGAGGAGGTCGTCGGGTAAGCTTGGCTTTATACATAGCTTGGGCTTTGTCGAGTAAGGCTTAAACTATGTATTTAGATTGTAGTTAGGTATTGTAGGTAGGTATCGTGGGTTGTTGTATGTAATTATTGTAGGTTAGTATTGTATTCGGCTGTGCCGGGTGTAGCACGAAGCTAGCAAGCTAGCTAGCTAACTCACCACCTGGACTAGCAGGTGAGTAGCTATTAGCAACGGTATAGTTGTTTCACGCCTGAGAGTGCCTGTAATTACGCCAGCTGGCTGCCTACAATAATTACATACAATAATTGCCTACCATTCAGCTGTTTTCTAACCTCATTGTCTGAACCGTTAACGTTAGGTAGCAAGTGGCTACTGTGCTTGAAATTTAGCTAGCTTGTTGCTACCTGGATAGCTACTAGTAAACAATAGCTGGAACGACCGAGTGAACAGACGCGAACTGGCTGAGTCAATTCAGTGGCTAGCTTTGCACTTGGCTAGCTAACAGTAGCTGCTAGGGGTAAGTCATAACCTACACTTGTGTTTTGTTTTTTACATATTGATAGCCCGAGTCGTTCAAGGAATTCGGGACATGGGTGACTAGTTAACGTTAGTTTGGCTCTCTCTGTGTGTTCGTGCCTTGAAAGGAGGGGTTCTTCTTTGTCTGAAAGCAATGGCTAGCTAGTTTGCTAACTATTCTAGCTAACTAACTGGCTGAATAAGTTGACGACGGACTCGCTCAAGCTGTCGGGACTAACCCACAACGTTAGACACGGACACGAATGATCTGCTTGCGTGTTGATACACTGGTGGTTTGTTGTCGCCGAGTATTGGCGCTAAACCGTGTTGTTGGAGACCGGCATGCTAGCTGGCTGTGGCGTCTTATGACGAGGTGCCCGGACGTTTTTCACGGAATAATACTGCACCTAGTTAGCTAGCTGAATAAACTAAGTTAGTCTATTCCTAGAAAACATCGAACCGCTGTAGTTTACAACAATTATAGTTTCTGAGGTGGAAGTTGGGAGAGTTATATTTGGGAGTTGTGGTGAGGGAGGCCCCGCTCTCTCCTTTCCCAGATGTTTAGTTCATTTCATTCCGATCTCCTCTGCATTATTGTAGCCATCTGCTGCAGCCTGTCAACTATGCCTCTGCCTATCCCTGTTCTCTCCTCTCCGCACAGGCTACACAAACGCCTCACACCGCGTGGCTGCTGCCTCTCTAACCTGGTGGTCCCTGCACGCACGACCCACGTGGAGTTCCAGGTCTCAGGCAGCCTCTGGAACTGCCGTTCTGCTGCCAACAAGGCAGAGTTCATCTCAGCCTATGCTACCCTCCAGTCCCTCGACTTCTTGGCGCTGACGGAAACATGGATTACCACTGAAAACACTGCTACTCCTGCTGCTCTCTCCTCGTCTGACCATGTGTTCTCGCATACCCCGAGAGCATCTGGTCAGCGGGGTGATGGCACAGGAATCCTCATCTCTCCCAAGTGGACATTCTAAATTTTTCCCCTGACCCATCTGTCTATCTCCTCATTTGAATTCAATGCTGTCACAGTCACTAGCCCATTTAAGCTTAATATCCTTGTCATCTATCGCCCTCCAGGTTCCCTTGGAGAGTTCATCAATGAGCTTGACGCCTTGATAAGTTCCTTTCCTGAGGATGGCTCACCCCTCACAGTTCTGGGGGATTTCAACCTCCCTACGTCTACATTTGACTCATTTCTCTCTGCCTCCTTCTTTCCACTCCTCTCCTCTTTTGACCTCACCCTCTCACCGTCTTCCCCTACTCACAAGGCAGGCAATACGCTTGACCTCATCTTTACTAGATGCTGTTGTTCTACTAATCTCATTGCAACTCCCCTCCAAGTCTCCGACCACTACTTTGTATCCTTTTCTCTCTCCCTCTCCTCCAACACTACTCACTCTGCCCCTACACAGATGGTAATGCGCCGTCACAACCTTCGCTCTCTCTCTCCCGTTACTCTCTCCTCTTCCATCCTATCATCTCTTCCCTCTGCTCAATCCTTCTCCCTCCAATCTCCTGATTCTGCCTCCTCAAACCCTCCTCTCCTCCCTTTCTGCATCCTTTGATTCTCTATGTCCCCTATCCTCCCGGCCGGCTCGGTCCTCCCCTCCAGCTCCGTGGCTTGATGACTCATTGCGAGCTCACAGAACAGAGCTCTGGGCAGCCGAGCGGAAATGGAAGAAAACTAGACTCCCTGCGGACCTGGCATTTTTTCACTCCCTCCTCTCTACATTCTCTTCATCTGTTTCTGCTGCTAAGGCCACTTTCTACCACTCTAAATTCCAAGCATCCGCCGCTAACCCTAGGAAGCTCTTTGCCACATTCTCCTCCCTGCTGAATCCCCCCCCCCCCCCCCCCCCCCCCCCTCCCTCTCTGTGGATGACTTCGTCAACCATTTTGAAAAGAAGGTTGATGACATCCGATCCTCGTTTGTTAAGTCAAATGACACTGCTGGTCCTGCTCACACTGCCCTACCCTATGCTTTGACTTCTTTCTCCCCTCTCTCTCCAGATAAAATCTTGCGACTTGTGACGGCAGGCCGCCCAACAACCTGCCCGCTTGAACCTATCCCCTCCTCTCTTCTCCAGACCATCTCTGGTGACCTTCTCCCTTACCTCACCTCGCTGATCAACTCATCCTTGACCGCTGGCCATGTCCCTTCCATCTTCAGGAGAGCGAGAGTTGCACCCCTTCTCAAAAAACCAACACTCGATCCCTCTGATGTCAACAACTACAGACCAGTATCCCTTCTTTCTTTTCTCTCCAAAACTATTGAGCGTGCCGTCTTTAGCCAACTCTCTTGCTATCTCTCTCAGAATGACCTTCTTGATCCAAACCAGTCAGGTTTCAAGACTGGTCATTCAACTGAGACTGCTCTTCTCTGTGTCACGGAGGCTCTCCGCACTGCTAAAGCTAACTCTCTCTCCTCTGCTCTTGTCCTTCTAGACCTGTCTGCTGCCTTTGATACTGTGAACCATCAGATCCTCCTCTCCACCCTCTCCGAGCTGGGCATCTCCGGCGCGGCTCACTCTTGGATTGCGTCCTACCTGACCGGTCGCTCTACCAAGTGGCGTGGCGAGAAGCTGTCTCCGCACCACGTGCTCTCACCACTGGTGTCCCCCAGGGCTCAGTTCTAGGCCCTCTCCTATTCTCGCTATACACCAAGTCACTTGGCTCTGTCATATCCTCACATGGCCTCTCCTATCATTGCTACGCTGACGACACACAACCAATCTTCTCCTTTCCCCCTTCTGATAACCAGGTGGCGAATCGCATCTCTGCATGTCTGGCAGACATATCAGTATGGATGACGGATCACCACCTCAAGCTGAACCTTGGCAAGACGGAGCTGCTCTTCCTCCCGGGGAAGGACTGCCTGTTCCATGATCTCGCCATCACGGTTGACAACTCCGTTGTGTCCTCCTCCCAGAGTGCGAAGAGCCTTGGCGTGACCCTGGACAACACCCTGTCGTTCTCCGCTAACATCAAGGCGGTGACCCGATCCTGTAGGTTCATGCTCTACAACATTCGGAGAGTACGACCCTGCCTTACACAGGAAGCGGCACAGGTCCTAATCCAGGCACTTGTCATCTCCCGTCTGGATTACTGCAACTCGCTGTTGGCTGGGCTCCCTGCCCGTGCCATTAAACCCCTACAACTCATCCAGAATGCCGCAGCCCGTCTGGTGTTCAACCTTCCCAAGTTCTCTCACGTCACCCCGCTCCTCCGCACACTCCACTGGCTTCCAGTTGAAGCTCGCATCTGCTACAAGACCATGGTGCTTGCCTACGGAGCTGTGAGGGGAACGGCACCTCCGTACCTTCAGGCTCTGATCAGTCCCTACACCCAAACGAGGGCACTGCGTTCATCCACCTCTGGCCTGCTGGCTCCCCTACCTCTGCGGCAGCATAGTTCCCGCTCAGCCCAGTCAAAACTGTTCGCTGCCCTGGCACCCCAATGGTGGAACAAGCTCCCTCACGACGCCAGGACAGCGGAGTCACTCACCACCTTCCGGAGACATTTGAAACCCCACCTCTTTAAGGAATACCTGGGATAGGATAAAGTAATCCTTCTACCCCCCCACAAAAAAAAAAAAAATTTGAAAAAAAAAAAAAATTGTAAAGTGGTTATCCCACTGGCTATAAGGTGAATGCACCTATTTGTAAGTCGCTCTGGATAAGAGCGTCTGCTAAATGACGTAAATGTAAATGTAAATGTAAATGTATGTTCTGTTTGTCCAGATTGACATAGTCTATTTATTGTGGTGTTGAAAACGCAAACCATGATATTGAAGCACCAGAAGTCGGTATGCTTTGCTTATTGGTTGTGTGGAAAATGTGTTCCATATATTTTATATAATTATAAATATAGCATAAAATTTTTGAAAATCTGATGTCTCCCTAGCTGATCATTGTCTGCAGCCTGCTCTGATCGTAGAGTAGGCCTAATGAAACAGGCAGGGAGAGTGAGAAAATAAAACCCCTGTTATGACATTCATTTGTTCAGGGAATCACAAGATTAAAAAAAAAAAAAGGTATGCAAAATATATTCTAAATAATCTTCAATATTCTGTCTTCAACTCCATACAGAATGCAAACACATCATGACAACACATTTTTTTCAACAACATTTATAAAGCTGATCAATTCTTCTGAAGGTGCTTTCAACTGTCAGCTTGTATTGTTCTTCTATATCCAGAATTTGAGATCAGTTGTCAGGTCAGTTGAGATAAAACAAAAACAAACAAACAAAATCACAGAGAATCCCAAATTGCTATGGACCAGCTTAATTGAAGGTAACATACTTTTTTTCTTTTTTTCTTATTGAAATTAAATTTGATTGATATGATATGGATGACCAATTTCTTTCCAACATACAATATCACCCACTCCATGCATGCAAAACAGACTTCAGTTATGTTTTAGTTATCTATCGTTTACCATACATCAGGCTCTTTCTATCAATGAATTGTTTTTTAACTGTGTTACAAAGTTAGTTATTTTGTATCTGAGTTGCATGTATTCCTCTGCAGCTGGTGCCTCTCATGCACTACTTTTTGTGGTTGCCAAACTGTACAGCCATCCTGTTGCTGACACAGCGGAAGGTGGCCGGCACCACCTCCCAGTAGTTGATTGGGTTATCAAAGAGACTGATCCCGTTGTAATAAGTATTCTTGACACCAAAGCCGTTAGGGCAGAAGTCATTCACGTCAACCTGGCTGATGTTGTTGGAGTGAAGGTAGACCACCTATTTTAAAAAACATTACATATATCAACTGTTATCAACATAACATAAAAACATAACATAGCACAACATAACATAGCAAGTGAAATCACCAATGTCGATGTGATTGATGCTGCTTCACAACCCCCCTCCACACTTTACCTGCAGATACTTCATTCCAGCAAGGCCTCCAGGGACATTGGGGATCCGGTTGTTCTCTAGGTGCAGCTCTCTCAGGTTTTGCAGGTAGTACAGGCTGCCATGCTCAATGAGGTGAATATGATTGTAGCCTAGACCCAACCTAACACACACAGACACAGAGACACACGCACGCACGCACACACACACACACATAGAAATCGAGTGATTGATGAGACAATGAAGGGCAAACCCACTAGAGGGTGCTACTATCACGATGATACCAGACATAATTTATTTTGTGCAACTTCAACAATGACTCTCCCATTATGCTGTTGTTACTTATATGCTTTTTTATTTTCTAATTATATGTTTTTGCCTTTGAAGATGAGTAGTGAACATCTACAGCATTCATAAACTCCTCATACATTCATAATGTGATGGACTTTTAGAAACTCTCGGACATTGAACACCCTCTTGTAAAGCTACTTGTCCAGACATACCTGTGCAAACTCTCATATTGTCTTAGGTCTTCTAGTTCAATGGCTTGAATTTGATTGTGATCCAAATGCAACTCATGTAGACCCTCAGGGAGATCTAGAAGGTGAGGGAAAACAGGTGACCGGTAGATTCAAAGGACTTTTCAGTGGAAATGTGTGGGAAGTTGCAATGAAACAAATATTGCCCTGCAGCTTTGCAGAACACTCCAAATAAAAGTATTATAAAGGTTGTCATGTTTTCTACCTTTAGGGATGCCTGTGAGTTTTGCCTCAGAAATACGAAGGAAGGTAAGTTTGAGTCCATCAAAGGCTCCGGGCTCCAAACCACTGTTCTGAATAGGATTCCTCCCCATCTCTGTGGAAGAAAAGTATGTGTTTTAAGTCAATGCCAAAACCTGCTCCAGTACTAAAAGCGGCTAGATTTACACTTCAAAGACATTAAGATGTTAGATGTGTTTTGGTGTTTCCAAACTGAAGAAAAAAAACAGTTGCTAACTTTAAATCTGGTGCTAACACATAGTACATCTGGCCTAAGGTCTTTCTTAACTATAGCTTGCCATCTCACCAATGCAGTTCATGCTGCCCAGGCCAGAGAAAGCCCCGGCCGCCACCCTCTTGATGTGGTTGTCGTGGATGCGCAGCTCCACCAGGGAAGAGGGCAGGTTCTTGGGTACGGCTGTCAGCTGGTTGTGGGAGAAGTAGAGCTTGTGCATCCTTTTGAGGGGCATGAAGGCCCGCGGGTGCACCCTGGAGATCTTGTTATTCACCAACACTAGAGCCTGAGAAAGGAGGCATAGGTCATGAGGAGACCAGCCACCCCAATCCAAAATAGATATAGACCATCACTCACAGATTGATACAAGCAATGTTGTCAATGTAATACTAAACCATTATGTATTCAAACACAGATAAGAATCAGCCCATTACAATTATAGAAAAAGTTGTGTGTTATATACAGGTCGTTCTTGAATTGCGGTGGCATTTAGGCATGGCATTTTGGAAAAAATGAACGTTTTATTTAAATGTATTTGGGTACATCTTTCCATTCTACATCAGCTAATATGGCAGCTTAATTACTTGAAATATGTGTTACCGTCAGGATAACATTGTGCCACCAGTAGGAGTAGTAAAACCAATGATGCTAACACCAATGAGACATTTTTGGTTATTGAGGATTTTCTTAAATGGAGGCCACAGATCCTCAAATGTAAGTTCATTAACCCTTTAAAAAATAATTTACTAAAGTGATTTTTCGCTCACAATGTTATTTCCTTCATTTGAATTGAGTAACACCAAGTGACACTTTTGATTTAGACACACCAAATTATAAATGGAATCCTTAAATTTATAACATAGTAAAAGGGTGTGATTAGCTAATAATTTTATTTAATATATATACCCCTCCCCCGATAACAGTTTGCCACTGGAGGGAATGCTGAAGGTCCTTGTAAATCTTTGTAATGAGTGATTTTCAAGGCTATAACACCAATGACATACAACTGAGGGAGAGACATTATTCTAGTAAAAAAAAGTATTTTAATAGCTTCTTTGTTTTTATTGATCTATACAATACTGTTAATTAATTTTGTTCACTTTCTATCATTGAAAATAACTGATGGATATCTCTAAATCGCCAAAACATGTCACCACAACTCTACAAATCACTACTGGGACAAGCCAATTTGCTTACCCTAAGTACTTTAAACAATGCATAAACATACATTTTGCAGTATAAAGGACTTTGTTCAATACAAACAAAAACATGTATGATGTGTAACTATTTGTCATTTTAAAGTGCTTTTCATGGTTGCAAATGCAAGGGACGGAAATGCCAACGCAATTCAAGAACAACCCACACATTCTACAATATATTATTTGAAGACACGTCATTAAAAGTATGCATCTTTTCAGTTAGGATACTGAAAGGGGGCGCTACGATGAAAAAAGCAAAGACAGACAAGTGACGTTTTCTATTGAAATGCCAGAACTCTCTTCCACCATTTGTGTTTTGACTGCTTGTGCTCACATAGAGGTTACTGAGTCCCTTGAAGTCATCCTCTCTTATCTCAGTGATCTGGTTGCTTTGAAGGTCCAGGAGCCTGGTCTCCGGGGGGATGTCATATGGCACATAGTGTAAACCTGCGGATAGAAACTACGAGATGCACTTACCTGCTTGATTTGACATGCTTTACCACATTCTGTCAGTTCACAATGATAACAAATCAGTTGCAATATAATATATTGTGTTATTGTTGCTTTACATTTTCATAAAAATCTATGAATCATGACAATATCAGACACACACAGTGTGTTCTCACTCTTAAGGTTATATCAGGATAAATCCACGAGTTAGAATTTATCGTCATACTGTAATTTGGTCAATGCTGAGTAATGCTCTGGGCTATGGTTTGTACGCATACAATATATTGTTGTTTATGTGTGAGCTCAGCTGTCACCATATAATTAAGAAGAAATCAGATGGCCATGACTCCACGTAGCACTAAAAAGCAACGTGCAGATGTGCAGTGTGACTGCTGGCTACACATTAACAATTGTATGTTCAGTGTGAAGAATAATTTGGAGACAATGTGATATTATGAAATTATGACATTGTATCTCTTCACCCACCCAAGTCAGAGCACTGCACAACATTCTGGTTACACTGACAGCCGAATGGGCAAGTAGGCTGTTCTGGTTTATAGTATTCTGGTTTATAGTATTCCTCAACCGCTGAGCCTTCCTCTTCATCGTTCATCATCATCATCAGCCCCTCTACATCGATGCTCTTCCCAAAGTCCAATAAGCCCTTCTGCTCAAAGGGCAGGGCCACAGAGGGGGTGGGAAGAGGGGTGGCACACAGCAGGAAAAGGACAACAGAGAAGGGAAGCATGGCTAGGCCTTTTGTTGAAGAGAAATTACAAGGGGAAGACAAAAAAGCACACAGAAATTAGCAGCAGTCAATAAAGTGCCACAGTTATGAATACAGCAACTATCTAGCTATAATTCCTGTAGCCTACAATTGGAGAGTTGCTCCTCATTATAAACATTTTACTATTACAACAGATCAAATATGTTTGACCAAATTCGTAGTTACTGTGATTTGCCTTTGTAGGGCAGTATAACTAGCATTGTGTTACAGTTCACTCCTCCAGTCCAGAGGAATCTCATTGTCAACATTGCCACTCCAGAGCAAAAGTCATTCCAAAAGCAATTGTAGCCAGTGACAAAGAATGAAATACACCCTGGCTTTCATACATCTGTTTGTTAGGCTTCAATCTCAAGATGTGATCTATCATATATGTCATAGGCGTTCTCTCTTAAAAGCCAATCTTACTCTTCCCATCAATTTTGTGGTTGGTATAAGAGGCAGTAAAATCATGGACCATGGATACTATGTTGTCTTTGGGTCTGTAACTATGACATCTGCTCTCATGAATTATTTGCTTTTAGCTGAGGCTGTACCTTCTTTGATTTATGCATTAAAATGGTAGAATCTCAGATCCAATAACATATTGCAAAAGACAGTTCCCTCATTACGTATAAGTCATTCTGTGTAATATAGTACAGTGTGTGTCATCTGTCAATATTTATTAGCAGGATTGTATTGCAAACTATCAATAGATGCCCTATGGCATTTTGGAATAATCTCAGATAAGCCTTCAGTTAGAGGATTCTTGTTGAAAATAAGAACATTGAAATCGTTTGTTCTTCAAAGAGGGTTTTTCATGTGAGCGAAGAGTCTTTGCTGTGGAACTGGAGTTTGGCGTTTCCTTGCCTTTGCCACGTGTTGTGAAAGGCCTGCTCCCTCCCTTAGCACTCCCACACCCTTTACCACAGTAAGGCCCCAGAAGCCACATAACTGGCTGGTCTCAGGGAAGGCTTTTTATAGACCCACTCTGTCATAGCACTCATTAGTTATATCAGCAGTGTCAAATCTCTAAATACAATGAATGAGATGTATGACGTACACAAAAATTACTTATTTGCTTAGTCTATCATTTTGTAATAGACTTGTGTCCCTGCAGCGAGCACTTTAACTACAGTATGGGGTGGCTCCGAGTTTTGAATGTTTGTGAAATTATCCACATCTTTGTTCTGTCTCAAGATCCATTCATTAAATATGGCCAATAAAAGGAATAAAGAATGTGTAGACTAGGTAGGGTTGTGTCGCACCCAGAAGGCTTAAACAAATTATTCAAAGCTAAATAGTCAATTTCAAATGTTAAATATTACTTTAACAATCAAAAATGTTTTGAATGCAGAATGTTAAACCAACTGTGGAACTGTAGAATAAAGCTGTGGAATATAGTTTCCTCTTATTGTAAACAATACTGAATATACTATTATCTGTAGGTCAAGAAACTCAAATAGAAGCTAAAATATATTTACTAAGACACTTACCGTTTCAGTTCTTGGAAAAACAAAAAACAAGTTTGTTTAGAGGTCAAATTAAATGAAATAAAGATTAATTCAACCTCAAACTGATATACAGGATACGTGTTTTATTCCATGGGATGATCCTTTATCTGTGAGTCCGTCTGCCAGCAGAGTCAGAGCTCTGCACAGTACCTGTTAAAAACCACAGAAGTAGTTACCAAAAGGAAAAAAACAAGTATTTTAAGCCATAACCCAAAATTGGTCCAGTCCCCTTTTCATTGCTGCTTCATTGTGTGTTTGTGCCTGTGTGACAGAGAGAGAGAGAGAGAGATTTTAGTTATTTTAAACTTATTTTGATTCAACATTTGAGATCTATGTACACCAATTGCAATCTAACCACTCCTGGTGAGCTAAACAATTTTTATTGAAGCTACTGTATAAGGCCAAAATAAAATACAAAGTACTATCCCAGCACTAAAAGGGCAAATACAGAATCCACTAAGAATAAAACACCCCGCAACTGTCTCTACCCAGTGCTACACATGCAGATTATTTGAGGTACTAAAACTTACTCAGACTATTTACAGTTACCATAGACAATGACTAGCAATTATTCAATAATTTTTATTTTCACAATTTCTCATTACACAAGTTTGTCACAAAGTTGAAACAGGTGTACATACAACAGTGAGTGTAGTATAAAGGGCACCTGGACATCTTTTGGCTCTCACTACTGCCAAGTAGCTACCTGGATCTCCCTTGGTAACCACACATCATTTTTATTTCGATACATGCTACTGTATCAAGCAAGATTAAAGTCATAAGTAAAACCTAGAACTGCTTTACAGAATGTAGCTTTTAAAACAGGACAAAGACACACACATAATCTTTCTCATTCATTGTGATAATGAAGCCCACTGACAAAGGGCTGGTTGCATAAACATTGCCCTAGGAATATGGTCAGATTTAGGATAGAAGTCTAATTTCACCTGTTTCATAACGCTTGGGTATCAGAAGTCTGACTAACCTAATCACAACTCATCAGAGAAGAAGACAATCAGAGACGGACTCAGAGGAAATGATGTAATGAGAAACGCTGACAAGGTGTAACCCAGGACAAACTGACAGGGGGTGGGAGAGAGGGGTGAAAAGGAAGGATGGAGGTGAGGAAGGGGGGTACTAGTAATCTTCATGTTGGTAATCTTCCTCATGACTCTGGGGCTGTAGTATGATGCTGTGGTAGGTCTTGATGCAGGAGAGGGCGATGGGTGGGATAAGGCGCCGGTCAATCAGGTTGTACTCCAGGTGAACGGAGACTAGGGGTGAGTCATCGCTCAGGCGTGTGTCACACAGAGAGTTCAGAGGAACGTATCTGCAGGGAGGAAAGAAAAAGATGATGGACACTCAGTCACCACCGACAGAAAGACAGATACTCAGACAAGACAGAACAACCTTTGATCCGACTAAAGGAAATAACGACTGAGAGAGAAACATAAATTACACGTTGAGATTCACAATAGCAATTTCAGATCATTATGGTTAGAGACTGCATGTGGCTACTGTGCTCTTATCAAGTTGGTTAGTCTCCCAGTGGGAGGAAGAGGACAGACAGAGGAAGTTAGTTATGTTAGATAATGTTGTGGTTGAGTTACCAGATAACATTGTGGTTGAGTTACCTAATAACGTTGTGGTTGAGTTACTGATAACATTGTGGTTGAGTTACCTGATAACATTGTGGTCAAGTTACCGGATAACGTTGTGGTTGAGTTACTGATAACATTGTAGTTGAGTTACCTGATAACGTTGTGGTTGAGTTACCTGATAACGTTGTGATTGAGTTACCTAACAATGTTGTGGTTGAGTTACCTGATAACGTTGTGGTTGAGTTACCTGATAATGTTGTGGTTGAGTTACCTGCTAACGTTGTGGTAGACCTACCTGATAACGTTTTGGTTGAGTTACCTGATAACGTTTTGGTTGAGTTACCTGATAACGTTGTGGTTGAGGCGAAGGAGCTGCAGAATCTTGAGCTTCAGTAGCCCCCTAGGGATGGAGTGAAGCTGGTTGTGGTCCAGCAGGAGTTCAGTCAGAGAGTTGTACAGGCCCAGGAAGGACACATCATCAATGCCGTTGTTGTCCAGCCTGTTGTGGGACAGGTGAAGAAGTTCCAGTCCCGGTTTAATGTGGCCAAACACGTAGCCAGGGATCCGCTCGATCTGGTTGTGGTGCAGGTGGAGCTGCTGTAGGCCCACAGGGAGGAAGGAAGGGACATGCACCAGCTTATTGTGCGACAGGTCCAATGACTCCAACTTTCTGAAATGGTAAGGAAAATACAGGGAGATGTGAAAAGTTTAGAAGACATGAAGAGATGGAGGGTAATGTACTGCATTATGTCTCCAATTGACTGAGTTAAAAGGGGACTTTTTCAATCTTAGGACTATATTACTAGTCCACCTTTCCTTCAGAAGGCTGGTTCAATATTTCCCTTTTCTCCATCTTTCACCAGAGGGTTCCATCAAATCCATCACATTTGTCTCACAACATTGTAGGAGTTTCAAACCACTAAGAGCCTTCACACAAAGGCAGATGGCCTGCAGTCCCTCCCTTTGGGCTTGACACTCTCTACAACCTATCATAAACCTGGACTGTGTCTGCTGCTCCGCTGTCAAGCCAGCCACATCAGCACGCCCCAAAACAATATCCTCCGTGGCTTTGCCCTCTATTCTCTTGTTTTTCCTTTTCTCCTCTTTCTTCTAAGATGCAATTAACATTATATTTTCCACTCGTTATTGCCAGGAAACTGGGAGACTAACACATGTACAGAGTGTCAGATTAATTGCATCATTTAAACTTTTGCTTAAGAATCCTGTTATGCAATCATGTTTATATTCATGCATTTTACTAAAACTTTTGTTTAAAAAAATGCATTCAAAAAATAAATACTGAGGTCACTTTTCTGCAAGATCAGAAATAGGAATAAAATGTTTTCCAACATTCCCCTCAAGGTGGTGTTCAAAACCAGAGTAACAGTAATCATTACACTGGACAATAACCTCCTAAATGCTGCAAAAGCAAGAATGGAGAGAGGTTGTTGGGACTTACAACAGGTGTATCCAGGCCCTTGGGGCTATGCGGTCCTCCCGGATCCTATTATGACTGAGATCCAGAAACCTGAGGTTGACGGTCTTGTTGAGGATCCCCTCATGCACCTCTTCTATTCTGTTATCCGACAAGTGAAGTGTCTGGAAATACAAGCCGCAAAACCCCTTGAGTATCCATATTGTTAGGGGGGTGAGGGGACCTACCGCATTGTTAGGGGGGTGAGGGGGACCTACCGTGTTGTTAGGGGGGTGAGGGGGACCTACCGTGTTGTTAGGGGGGTGAGGGGGACCTACCGTGTTGTTAGGGGGGTGAGGGGGACCTACCGTATTGTTATGAGGGTGAGGGGAGTGCTGCAGAGATGGTTGTCCTTCTGGAAGGTTCTCCCATCTCCACAGAGGAACTCTGGAACTCTGTCAGAGTGACCATCGGGTTCTTGCTCACTTCCCTGACCAAGGCCCTTCTCCCCTGATTGCTCCGTTTGGCCGGGCAGCCAGCTCTAGGAAGAGTCTTGGTGGTCCAAACGTCTTCCATTTAAGAATGATGGAGGGCACTGTGTTCTTGGGGACCTTCAATGCTGCAGACATTTTTTGGTACCCTTCCCCAGATCTGTGCCTCGACACAATCCTGTCTCGGAGCTCTACGGACAATTCCTTCGACCTCATGGCTTGGTTTTTGCTCTGACATGCACTGTCAACTGTGGGACCTTATATAGACAGGTGTGTCTTTCCAAATCATGTCCAATCAATTGAATTTACCACAGGTGGACTCCAATTGAGTTGTAGAAACATCTCAAGGATGATCAATGGAACCAAGATGCACCTGAGCTCAATTTCGAGTCTCATAGAAAAGGGTCTGAATACTTATGTAAATAAGGTATTCCTGTTATTTTTTATAAATCTGCAGAAAAATCTAAAAACCTGTTTTCACTTTGTCATTATTGGGTATTGTGTGTAGATTGTTGAGTGATAGCTCAGTTGGTAGAGCATGGCGCTTGCAACGCCAGGGTTGTGGGTTCGATTCCCATGGGGGGCCAGTATGAAAATGTATGCACTCGCTAACTGTAAGTCGCTCTGGATAAGAGCGTCTGCTAAATGACTCAAATGTAAACATTTAATTTAATCAATTTTAGAATAAGGCTGTAACGTAACAAAATGTGGAAAAGGTCAAGGGGTCTGAATACTTTCCGAATGCACTGTATGTGCACCTAGCTCGCAATTACCCAAAATAGTATGTTTAGTAAAACATCCGAAACCTCTCATGTTACTACATTATTGAAGAGTCTGTGGACTATTCCAATACTTATTTCAAATAAGGGAAAATAAGTGACGTCTCAAATGTCTGAGAGCTACGCTCCTTTGTTGGACTGAGGCTACTGCATATTATTGGCTCCTGCATGCTCACTACAGTGACATCACAGGCACCTCGTCCAATCACTGACCTGCAGGGTCACAGGAAGCCCCGAGGGGATGGCCCGGAACTTGTTGTCTTCCAGTCGCAGATAGATGAGTTTCTTGAGGGGCCGGAAGGTCAAAGGTGACACATTCCCATCGTGGAAGTGGTTGTCCTCGAGCTCGAGTGTCAGCAGTTTGGACAAACCTGAGGAGAGACACATTTTCAAATTCCAACATGACAATATCAACATACAATAATATCCAATGTAATTTGACTTGTTTTGCTGATATTCGTTGCTAAATGAGCTACGCCAACAACGCTAATGTGCTAATCTGCACATCCTATCTGAGGTGATTTGAAATAGTAGGTGCTCAGACACAAGCTAAGCTTGAACGAACAAAGCTTTGTACACATACTCTCTCTCTCTCTCCGTAAACCCCACCATTCTATACCTTTAAAGCTGCTAGGTGTGAGACCCAGGATCTTGTTGTCATTGATCTTCAGCTCCACCAGGGACGGCGGTAGAAATGAGGGGACTTTGGTCAGATTGTTGCCATCTAGATTCAGCCTCCTCAGCTTGGTCAGGTTCTGAAACAAGCCAAGAATCCACCCACCTTAGAACATTCGAGTGCTAAGTGTGTTTTAACCAGTGTCCCTCTCTCTCTCACGGCCAAGCTCAAGAACTGCAATGTTACCTTATGTTTCTACTTTGCTGTTTATAGCTGAGATCTGCATAAGGTGAATCAGCGCCACTGGTCGCCCCAGGCGCATCTGTTATTGTTTTTGTTTTGTTTATGAAACGGAGCAGAGGAGCATCCAGCATCGTGGTAAAACATTTTTTGTAGTACATACTCTGCTGTTCTATCGCGCGTGCAATCATGTCCGAGGGAAAAAACTGTGTTCGTTGTTTGAGGTATTTGTTGTTGTTATATCGCAAATCGACGTGGCAGTTTCACCGCTACGGATTCCAGCTTTAAGAGATGTACAAAATGAAACACTTATTTTTGGTATAAGGCCTATGACATGGGCCTTATGCCAGTATAACCTGTGTAACTACCAGTTGAATAACCTACACGATTATTAAACGCTGTAACAGGCTAGTAGGCTAAGTACACAATAGTATTTTTTAATGGTGCAGGAATAATATGATTTTTTACAGCAATGGCAGTTCTCCCAGTGGTGATTTGATTGAATTCCACCCTATGTCTTATTCATGAAGTGCTTTTCATGACATGTTTTGTTATCAAGTCTTTGTCAACTCTGAGAAGTAGTTAATAAACACTAATGCTCTCTGAAGGGAGTTTTTAGCACGTGAGCTCCTGGCATCAGGGACTCTGACACCTTAGTGGGAACAGGTGCATGTTAGGACACCTTGCCAAAAAGGATTGTTCTGTTTTTAGTTGTGGCTTGTATGTTGACCGATAATATTCCCATGTTCATTGCAACAGCTAATTGACATTCGTCTAGATGGGGCCAGATTCAACTTTTGTTCTTATGCTCTACCTGGGAGACAGCAGAAGTCCTAGCACTCCAACTACAAGATGGATCATCTTGTTGATACATTAGGCACTACCTATAACTTAAATGACTGTGGCATGCACATACCTGTACTATTCTGTACCACTACACTGTGACATAATATTATGTTTATATTCTATGATAACAGGCTGAGAGGGATCCAGGTAATGCAGCATGAGAATGGTCAATAGAGCCCTTAGTAACATGAGGCTGAGATGTACAGGTGGGTCTGGCAGAACAGTAGAGGTCCAACTGGAACTAAAGCCAAATGTGTTGAAATGAACGATGCTCTCAGACTCACCTGGAACAGGTCAGTGCTAATGGCGGAGTCGTCCAGCTTGTTCTTGCTCAGGTCCAGCCACTCCAGGTTGGGCAGCCCAGCCAGCGCCCAGGGAGGGATCTTACTGATCTTATTGTCTTATAAGAGAATAGAACACATGCTGACCCAGTCACCTCAAACAGAGTAAGGCCTGGGTCCACATGCCATTGGACCTGCCTTAATGTTTATGCAGTACCTTTGTGTACAAAATATGTTTATATATGCAACTGTGTAAATGCCGCAAAGGACATTTGATTGTATTGAAGCACACAACGGTAAATCCTTTGCCTTCCCGAAATTCCAACTTATTAAACATAGCTACCCATTTTAGTAAACCTGAACTCAGATTATTGTCCCCCCTCTTGACTCTACTAATTGTCCCTCTAATAACATGTGAGATCTCTGTATCTCCTCACCTGCCAGATAGAGGGTCTTGACCCCCTGGTCTGAGAGGATAGGGATGTGGACCATGCCAGTGCTGCCACAGGCGATCAGAGACTCAGAGAGTAGGCAGCCAGCAGGGAGAGACTCCATGATGCTGTGTCTCCTGGGGAATGTGACTACAGCACGTCCCGGCCCCGGTGCCCTCGCCATGGGACTCCTAGTGGTGGTAGTAGCCAGTCGGCCAGTCGCCATGGTGACTGGTCTCCCCATTGGTGCCAACCTCATGGTGGGTTTTCCGGTGGCCCTGATGATGTAATCGTCATCGTCGTCATTATCGTCATGTTCGCTGTGGTCATGGTCATCATGATTATCATTGTCATTGTCATCGTAGGGAAGGTACGGAAGGCTGTCTTTGGTTATCGTCGGGTCACGCCTCTTAGCCATGGGGACCTCGGTCTTCCTGACTTTTATTTTCACAGCCACTTCCTTTTTCTTCACAGACACTTTCTGTATCTTCACAGCCACTTTTTGTTTCTTCACAGCCACTTCCTGTTTCTTCACCGCTACTTCTTGCTTTTTGTTCTGGGTGGTCACGGATTTCATAACAGCAACCTGTACAACATAGACATCACACACAAAATATATCAAATTAGATATCTTAAATACCTCAAAATATCCCTGTCAGTCAATACTCAGTCATAGGCAAAGCATTAATACAATAGTCAAAGCATTGTTAGTTCATGTGCTGTGCAGGTCCCATAGCATTGCCTTCTTCATATTCCCATGGGCACCATTGGGTGGGCACCCACCGCTTTCGCTGGAGTAACATGCTGCTCCTCCTTCTTCTGATGTGCTGCTCCTCCTTCTTCTGATGTCCTTTGGAGACTCTTCTTCTGTTTTGGGATCCCCTCTTTCTTCTCTGCATTAGGGGAGGGTTTCTTGGCTTTGGGAGCCACTGTCTGCTGGCTATTTGAACCTGAGGGAGAGGGCAATATATGTTAAATTCATATTTATACAGTATATACAGTACCAGTCAAAGGTTTGGACACACCTACTCATTCAAGGGTTTTTCTTTATTTTTACAATTTTATACATTGTAGAATAATAGTTAGACATCAAAACAATGAAATAACACATATGGATTCATGTAGTAACCATAAACATATTAAACAAATCTATAATATAATCTATAATCTATATTTTATATTTGAGATTCTTCAAAGTAGCCACCCTTTGCCTTGATGACAGCTTTGCACACTCTTGGCATTCTCTCAACCAGCTTCATGAGGTAGTCTCCTGGAATGCATTTCAAATAACAGGTGTGCCTTGTTAAAAGTTAATCTGTGGAATTTCTTTCCTTCTTAATGCGTTTGAGCCAATCAGTTCTGTTGTGACAAGGTAGGGGTGGTATACAGAAGATAGCTCTATTTGGTAAAAGACCAAGTCCATATTATGGCAAGAACAGCTAAAATAAGCAAAGCGGAACGACAGTCAATCATTACTTTAAGACATGAAGGTCAGTCAATATGGAACATTTCAAGAACTTTGTACTTGAAGTTTCTTCAAGTACAGTCGCAAAAACCATCAAGCGCTATGATGAAACTGGCTCTCATGAGGACCGCCACAGGAAAGGAAGACCCAGAGTTACCTCTGCTGGAGAGGATAAGTTCATTAGATTTAACTGCACCTCAATTTTGCAGCCCAAATACATTGGGGAAAAAAAGTATTTAGTCAGCCACCAATTGTGCAAGTTCTCCCACTTAAAAAGATGAGAGAGGCCTGTAATTTTCATCATAGGTACACGTCAACTATGACAGACAAATTGAGGAAAAAAAATCCAGAAAATCACATTGTAGGATTTTTTATGAATTTATTAGCAAATTATGGTGGAAAATAAGTATTTGGTCAATAACAAAAGTTTCTCAATACTTTGTTATATACCCTTTGTTGGCAATGACACGGGTCAAACGTTTTCTGTAAGTCTTCACAAGGTTTTCACACACTGTTGCTGGTATTTTGGCCCATTCCTCCATGCATATCTCCTCTAGAGCAGTGATGTTTTGGGGCTTTCGCTGGGCAACACGGACTTTCAACTCCCTCCAAAGATTTTCTATGGAGTTGAGATCTGGAGACTGGCTAGGCCACTCCAGGACCTTGAAATGCTTCTTACGAAGCCACTCCTTCGTTGCCCGGGCTGTGTGTTTGGGATCATTGTCATGCTGAAAGACCCAGCCACGTTTCATATTCAATGCCCTTGCTGATGGAAGGAGGTTTTCACTCAAAATCTCACAATACATGGCCCCATTCATTCTTTCCTTTACACGGATCAGTCGTCCTGGTCCCTTTGCAGAAAAACAGCCCCAAAGCATGATGTTTCCACTCCCATGCTTCACAGTAGGTATGGTGTTCTTTGGATGCAACTCAGCATTCGTTGTCCTCCAAACACGACGAGTTGAGTTTTTACCAAAAAGTTCTATTTTGGTTTCATCTGACCATATGACATTCTCCCAATCCTCTTCTGGATCATCCAAATGCACTCTAGCAAACTTCAGACGGGCCTGGACATGTACTGGCTTAAGCAGGGGGACACGTCTGGCAGTGCAGGATTTGAGTCCCTGGCGGCGTAGTGTGTTACTGATGGTAGGCTTTGTTACTTTGGTCCCAGCTCTCTGCAGGTCATTCACTAGGTCCCCCCGTGTGGTTCTGGGATTTTTGCTCACCGTTCTTGTGATCATTTTGACCCCACGGGGTGAGATCTTGCGTGGAGCCCCAGATCGAGGGAGATTATCAGTGGTCTTGTATGTCTTCCATTTCCTAATAATTGCTCCCACAGTTGATTTCTTCAAACCAAGCTGCTTACCTATTGCAGATTCAGTCTTCCCAGCCTGGTGCAGGTCTACAATTTTGTTTCTGGTGTCCTTTGACAGCTCTTTGGTCTTGGCCATAGTGGAGTTTGGAGTGTGACTGTTTGAGGTTGTGGACAGGTGTCTTTTATACTGATAACAAGTTCAAACAGGTGCCATTAATACAGGTAACGAGTGGAGGACAGAGGAGCCTCTTAAAGAAGAAGTTACAGGTCTGTGAGAGCCAGAAAACTTGCTTGTTTGTAGGTGACCAAATACTTATTTTCCACCATAATTTGCAAATAAAATCATAAAAAATCCTACAATGTGATTTTCTGGAGAAAAAAAATCTCAATTTGTCTGTCATAGTTGACGTGTACGTATGATGAAAATTACAGGCCTCTCTCATCTTTTTAAGTGGGAGAACTTGCACAATTGGTGGCTGACTAAATACTTTTTTTCCCCACTGTAAATGCTTCACAGAGTTCAAGTAACAGACACATCTCAACATCAATTGTTCAGAGGCGACTTCATGAATCAGGCCTTCATGGTCGAATTGCTGCAAAGATACCACTGCTAAAGGACACCAATGAGAAGAGACTTGCTTGAGCCAAGAAACACGAGCAATGGAGATTAGACCAGTGGAAATCTGTCCTTTGGTCTGATGAGTCGAAATTTGAGATTTTTGGTTCCAACCGCCGTGTCTTTGTGAGACGCAGAGTAGGTAAACAGATGACCTCTACATATGTGGTTCCCACCGTGAAGCATGGAGGAGGAGGTGTGATGGTGTGGGGGTGCTTTGCTGGTGACACTGTCAGTGATTTATTTAGAATTCAAGGCACACTTAACCAGCATGGCTACCACAGCATTCTGCAGCGATACGCCATCCCATCTGGTTTGCGCTTAGTGGGACTATAATTTGTTTTTCAACAGGACAATGACCCAAAACACACCTCCAGGCTGTGTAAGGGCTATTTGACCAAGGAGAGTGATGGAGTGCTGCATCAGATGACGTGGCCTCCACAATCACCCGACCACAACCCAATTGAGATGGTTTGGGATGAGTTGGACTGCAGAGTGAAGGAAAAGCAGCAAACAAGTGCTCAGCATATGTGGGAAGTCCTTCAAGACTGTTGGAAAAGCATTCCTCATGAAGCTGGTTGAGAGAATGCCAAGAGTGTGCAAAGCTGTCATCAAGGCAAAGGGTGGCTACTTTGAAGAATCTCAAATAGAAAATATATTTTGGTTTGTTTAACACTTTTTTGGTTACTACATGATTCCATAGTTTTGATGTCTTCACTATTATTCTACAATGTAAAATTTTTTAAAAATAAAGAAAAACCCTTGAATGAGTAGGTGTGTCCAAACTTTTGACTGGTAGTGTATACAGTTGAAGTCGGAAGTTTACATACACTTAGGTTGGAGTCATTAAAACTCGTTTTTCAACCACTCCACAAATGTCTTGTTAACAAACTATAGTTTTGGTAAGTCGGTTAGGACATCTACTTTGTGCATGACACAATTAATTTTTCCAACAATTGTTTACAGACAGATTATTTCACTTATAATTCACTGTATCACTAGATACAAGAAGTTTATGTAAGGGATCGGGGGTTGGCAGGGTCTAGACAGAGTCTGACACTTCCCCGATCTACAGAGAGGGGGAGTCATCAGACTCGATCTGGTTCACCTGAGTTCTGAGCACACCTGTCAGTAATTAGTGTAGGATTTAAGGTGTGCTCAGAAGCTCAGTCGGCGCGAGGTATTGTTCCTTTGTGACTTGCTAAGCGTTTTGTTCCGAGAGAGAGAGAGAGAGAGAGAGAGAGAGAGAGAGAGAGAGAGAGAGAGAGAGAGAGAGAGAGAGAGAGAGAGAGAGAGAGAGAGAGTAGAGAGAGAGAGAGAGAGAGAGAGAGAGAGAGAGAGAGAGAGAGAGAGAGAGAGAGAGAGAGAGAGAGAGAGAGTTTGTTGTTTTTGATTACCCGTGTATCTGACCTGTGCCTTGTTGTTTGACTCCCCGAATTGCTTAATCCTCTGCTTGTCTACCCCAGTGATTACCGTCCTCTGATCCTGTGCCCTCGTCTACGACTAAGCCCGCTCCATTGGTACCTCTGCCTGTCTATGCCTGGCCCGGTTTTGACCACAGCCTGCCCGACCACGATTAAGCTATTCCCTTGTCTGTACTCTAATAAAGCATCGCTATTCTGCGATTGGATCTTACCACTCTGTCCGAGTATTCATTACAGTTTACATACACTAAATTGACTGTAACTTTAAACAGCTTGGAAAATTCCAGAAAATGATGTCATGGCTTTAGAAGCTTCTGATAGGCTAATTGACATCATTTGAGTCAATTGGAGGTGTACCTGTGGATGTATTTCAAGTCCTACCTTCAAACTTAGTGCCTCTTTGCTTGACATCATGGGAAGATTAAAAGAAATCAGCCAAGACCTCAGCAAAAAAATTGTAGACCTCCACAAGTCTGGTTCATCCTTGGGAGCAATTTCCAAACGCCTGAAGGTACCACGTTCATCTGTACAAACAATAGTATGCAAGTATAAACACAATTGGACCACGCAACCATCATACCGCTCAGGAAGGAGACGCGTTCTGTCTCCTAGAGATGAATGTACTTTGGTGCAAAAAGTGCAAATCAATCCCAGAACAACAGCAAAGGACCTTGTGAAGATGCTGGAATAAACAGGTACAAAAGTATCTATATCCACAGTAAAATGAGTCCTATATCAACATAACCTGAAAGGCCGCTCAGCAAGGAAGAAGCCACTGCTCCAAAACCGCCATAAAAAAGCCAGACTACGGTTTGCAACTGCACATGGGGACAAAGATCGTAATTTTTTGAGAAATGTCCTCTGGTCTGAGGAAACAAAAATAGAACTGTTTGGCCATAATGACCATCGTTATGTTTGGAGGAAAAAGGGGGTTCCTTGCACGCCGAAGAACACCATCCCAACCGTGAAGCATGGGGGTGGCAGCATCATGCTGTGGGGGTGCTTTGCTGCAGGAGGGACTGGTGCACTTCACAAGATAGATGGCATCATGAGGAAGGAAAATCATGAGGAAGGAAAATTATGTGGATATATTGAAGCAACATCTCAAGACATCAGTCAGGAAGTTAAAGTTTGATCGCAAAGGGGTCTTCCAAATGGACAATGCATACTTCCACCCCAAGCATACTTCCAAAGTTGTGGCAAAATGGCTTAAGGATAACAAAGTCAAAGTATTGGAGTGGCCATCACAAAGCCCTGACCTCAATCCTATAGAAAATTTGTGGGCAGAACTGAAAAAGCGTGTGCGTGCAAGGAGGCCTACAAACCTGACTCAGTTACACCAGCTGTGTCAGGAGGAATGGGCCAAAATTCACCCAACTTATTGTGGGAAGGTTGTGGAAGGCTACCCGAAACGTTTGACCCAAGTTAAACAATTTAATGGCAATGCTACCAAATACTAATTGAGTGTATGTAAACTTCTGACCCACTGGGAATATGATGAAAGAAATAAAAGCTTAAATAATTCTCTCTACTATTATTCTGACATTTCACATTCTTAAAATAAAGTGGTGATCCTAACTGACCTAAGACAGGGAATGTTTACTAGGATTAAATGTCAGGAATTGTGAAAAACTGAGTTTAAATGTATTTGGCTAAGGTGTATGTGAACTTCCAATTTCAACTGTATGTACACATACTGTACACAATTCCATGCCCTGATCAGTTTGTACACTTTATGTCAGCATGGACCATTTCAACAAAAAAGCTGGCATTAAACATAATAACCACAAATAAGATTACAATCCTTCCATAACAATCTACAACTTGAATGATAAATAATAGGAGTGAAGGCAGAAGGACAAACTGGCTGCAGTGTAAATGTAGCTAGTAAATGTTTGTTATTTGAGCAGCTGCCAGCCTACCGCTGCAGGGGACAGGGTGACAGCTGACAGTTCCCCTCTGACACTGGCACACGGAGCAGGGCTGAGGCGACCACATGGCCCTGTCAAACAGGGACATCCCATTCACAGAGCACTGCCCTCTGCCACCTGCAAGACAGACAGAACGACAGACACACACACACAAACACACAGCACTACTCACCCAAACTACACATGACCCACAGGTAAAGTCCACATGAAACTGATGCTAAATAAAAAAGATATGCACCACACTCAAATTCAGTCTTTGAAAACTCAGTGCAGTTCTTTCTGAAGGATTGTGGACCACCCTTGACTTGGGAGAACACACTGTAATCACAAAAACTAGAAGCTCTGTGAAGTATGCATGCATGTTGCCCCCACCATCCTTTTCCAAGAGCATGTTGAAAACTTACCAGGGAGGAGAGCATCATCAGTATCATCCAGTTCAGGTGAATCAGCTGCTACTACGGGTTTGGAGCTCCTGGGCTTCTCTGTTCTCCTGCTGGGCTTCCCATCAATTAGTGAGGCTGCTGCATATAAGCAGAAATATAGGAGCGCTAATCTGTTCATGGTCAGCTCTGCCATGGACTCTCTTGGTCAGCCTTCCTTTGGACAGAAACCCTTTCAAAGTGAGTGTGAGGAATCTCAACTTCTGAAGGGCTTTTATACACTCTCACCCCCAAGACATGATTTTTGGCCACACACCACAGAGAAACCCCAAAGGTGAGAGGAGAGAGGAGTGGCGAGAGGAAGTAGGGGAGTGGGTGAAAAAAATAAAAGGAAAACATTTTCAGGACAAAGACCTCCTTTCATTCGTCTTTAAGAAACCACCTACCTCTCCTCTCCCCACCTCTCTCCTCTCCAACCCCAGCCCCTGGTATACCAAACAAACCAATAGAGGAGGTCCAGTCAGAGACTGCATATCGGAGGGGTCAAATAATTACTGTGACGTCAACCAGCGGAGTGCTTTCTCACAGCCCAAACAGACAGTTTATCTACGGCCCATTTCCATTGGCCACGAGCCAGAAGAGGTATAGCCCACTGTACGGTATGGCCAGGAAGGAAGAAAAAATCTCTCCAAGCTCTCAAATCGGAGTCCAGCTGGAATGAAAGGCTGCTTTGTGTCCAATACCTCTCCAGCCCACCCCACCACCAACCACTACCAGCCAGCAGGACAGCGAGACACAGAGACCACACTCCTGAGAAATTCTTGGGAGTTTTCTCTTTCTGCTTTGCGACCCTGCTTGACCGCACGGTTTCCTCCCTGTAGTGTCACAAGGGCCTTGCATCTCCTCTGTTTACACACACTATTCGTGTAACTAAGACAACCACCATATATGTCGACACCGTCGATTCATGTTTCCCAATATAATACGTTTAGTATACATAAAAACGTAACCTTATCTGATAGTGGAGTGGGATATGATTGCAGCAACACTTACTGTATTCTGGAACACCTCGGTCACTGTCCGTCTGCTACTATTTCTCCCAGTATGACCCCTGGTTGCATTTCATGTCTAATTTCTCAAAACCACATCCAATCATCCTACTCCTACTTCATTGTGGTGTCCACATTGTGGTGTGCCTGAAACCAACAGATACCAAACACTCCAACAGACACCTGCAGACCTGCTGCATGGCCAACCAAAACAGACTGTGTTATCTGAGCATACGCCATAGACACTTATAGGATCAGATTTACTAGTTCAACGTTTGCACCTGGGCCCGTATTCATAAAGAATCTTAGGAGTGCTGATCTAGGATCACGTCCCCCCTGTCTAAAAGGCTAAACTGAACCGTGCTATTACTCTGAGACGGTTTATGAATATGGTCCCCGATATTTACTGGTAAAGGTCAATGAAAGATTGTGAGAAGGAAAAGCCTTACAGCTAGTATAGAAAACATAGGTTTGCTTTGTTATAACAACAGGTGCAAACACTTAATAAATCTGTCCTTGCACCTTCAATAGCACTACATGGTCTGAGATTTCTGAAATCTTGAATATTTTCACAGTGCCTTTTTACTAAGCAGGTGATTGGCTAAGAGGATGACCTCCATTGACCATTGACAGCGAAACACAGAAAGGTAATTTGAGTCCATGTGAGAATCAAGTCTGGTTTGCAACACAAATAATTTAATATGTTTTGTTTTACTTTTACCATCTCTCACTATTATAGAACGTTTGTCTCAATATATAATTTATGTTTTATATTTACATTTAAGTCATTTAGCAGACGCTCTTATCCAGAGCGACTTACAAATTGGTGAATTCAACTTAGACCTATGTGCAGTATCTGTTGCCACAATAAGGGAATTACATAATTTCAGACACAAAATAACATGTGGCTAAGTTAAGTACTCAAAGTAACTGATACCATCCATCCTCATTATAATTAGTCACATTTGCCACACACCTTTCAAAATTGTATTTTGACTCAAGGCCTGGCATAGAACTTTCAGAAATGTTTCACCATTTATGACAGAGTTACAACAAATACAGCCATATGAAGCTTATTTTGGCTCAAGACACAAAGAAACTTGAAACCTCACTACATGCAAAGAAATGATGATCACATCAGACATATATTCACACACACGTCATGAGAATAAACCCCTAACTGACATAACCAGTTTGCCTCAGTTCAGTTTGTGTTCACTTATCCCCAGAAATCTAACTATTATTTACGGTCTGTATATTTTAGGTCAGAATAAGAGATTTGACCTTTGACCTGGGACCTGTAATCCAGCTGGCAGACAATGGCAGGTGCTGTCTGTCTCTCCAGCAGTAGTTGAAGAGCGAAGATTTATCACCATACCATATTCTATCTCTCTCATTCTCTCGTTCTCTCTCTCTCTCTCTCTCTCTCTCTCTCTCTCTCTCTCTCTCGCTCTCCCTCCCTCTCTCTCCGACAGCTGAGATGTTAGTGCAGGCGCACTATTTCCAGTCAAGGACACAAAGCATCCAAAATAGATTTATCTATGTACAGTATCTGTTGTCATAATGACTCCACATGCCCATTTCACCTGTCTCTTTCTTTACTGATTTAAGGAGTTTGCTGTATATATACACATCTATATAGGACAATCCAGAATATAGGGAACGTACAGACCAATACAGTCCAATGTTAATGTGATTGCTTTTTTTTTTATCCTTCAAGATGACAGAATATGAAGAGCTTAAATAATTAAAATGAAATTGATATTTGATGCCTCTGTGTTGACATGGTGTATTTTGAGGACATTACAGTTTCTCGATTGCTAAAACACATTTCTTGAAACCTTCACCCATTTTCTCAAAACTTTAAACACAAAACCAAATCTTCAAACTACATTCACAAAACCCCTGACTCTTCTGGCAAAATCAAACAATCGCCTCAAAACCATTTAATCTGTGCTCAAAATCAAACAATGCTTTCAGATCATACACACAGTCAGTCAATATATAAACACTACAGAGCGTTCATTAGACACTACATCAAAAAAATTGAGAACACAGCGTCCAGGGCATGTAGTTACAGAATATTTTTATTTATTGTATATAGTAAATGCATTTTGCAATTAAAACAAAAAGTATAGTAATAATAATAATAATAATATGCCATTTAGCAGACGCTTTTATCCAAAGCGACTTACAGTCATGTGTGCATACATTTTTACGTATGGGTGGTCCCGGGGATCGAACCCACTACCCTGGCGTTACAAGCGCCATGCTCTACCAATTGAGCTACAGAGGACCACAATATAGTAATCACAACTTAGTACAGTCAATATATTGTGTAGTGTAAGTACTGCAAGTAATACAGTATTGAATGTCTGTATATTCAGCACTTGCATAAAAATACAGTAGTCCAACTGCAAAAGCCCAAAGAACAAAGAAAACTCTAAATGAAAAGCACATTACAGTACACTCAAACATTTTGTGCAACTGCGAAATCAAAGTCAATGAGAGATTCATTCTGCCTCAGCATCACGTCTTTGTGCTGGTTCCGGCCAGAGGACTTCGTCCACATCACAGGCAACGTTGTCCCTTGCCAGGCAACGGCGGAAAAACCCTCTGGTGTGCCGGATCCAGCCTTGACAACACTCCACACCTATGTCACCACAGGCCAATTCCATTGCCTGTAAGAGATTTTCCCTGGTATATGGGTTTCGGTCATAGACTGTTGGCTGGGCTCCCTGCCTGTGCCATTAAACCCCTACAACTCATCCAGAATGCCGCAGCCCGTCTGGTGTTCAACCTTCCCAAGTTCTCTCACGTCACCCCACTCCTCCGCACACTCCACTGGCTTCCAGTTGAAGCTCGCATCTGCTACAAGACCATGGCGCTTGCCTACGGAGCTGTGAGGGGAACGGCACCTCCGTACCTTCAGGCTCTGATCAGTCCCCACACCCAAACGAGGGCATTGCGTTCATCCACCTCTGGCCTGCTGGCTCCCCTACCTCTGCGGAAGCATAGTTCCCGCTCAGCCCAGTCAAAACTGTTCGCTGCTCTGGCACCCCAATGGTGGAACAAGCTCCCTCACGATGCCAGGACAGCGGAGTCACTCACCACCTTCCGGAGACATTTGAAACCCCACCTCTTTAAGGAATACCCGGGATAGGATAAAGTAATCCTTCTACCCCCCCCTTACCCCAACCCAAACCCCAACCCAAAAACAAAACAAAAACATTGTAAAGTGGTGATCCCACTGGCTATAAGGTGAATGCACCTTTTTGTAAGTCGCTCTGGATAAGAGCGTCTGCTAAATGACGTAAATGTAAATGTAAATGTAATAGACCTTCCACCGCCACGCAGAGAAAAACGATTCTATTGGGTTGAGGAAAGGGCTGTATGGTGGAAGGCAAACATTTATGAATCGCTGGTTGATGTTGAACCACTTGTGTATCCAGACACCACGGTGAAAGCTGACATTGTCCCAAACCACGACATAGACAGGATGCACTGCCTGCTGATGATCCTGCTGCTCACGCTCAAACAAAACATCCCGAAGATCACCCAGAAATGTAAGAAGATGTTCAGTGTTATATGGCCCCAGGGTTGCATAACGGTGGAGAACCACATGATTACTTATGGCTGCACAAAGGGTGACATTGCCACCACGCTGGCCAGGGACTTCCACAATGGCACATTGACCAATTATGTTCCTGCCTCTCCTTCTCCTCTTCGCCAGATTGAACCCTGCTTCATCTACAAAAATGTATTCATGGGGCTTTCCATGGAATCCAATTCAAACACTCTCTATATATAAAAATAAATAAGTAGTTTAGTAAGTAATACAGAAAGACAGACTTCTGCAATAGTGCATTTGTATGCACTTCTGATTTACATACACTACAATATAGTGCAGTTTACAGTAACAGTAGGCTAGTAGCATAGCATTGTACTGTAAGCATCAGCGCTGAAAGTGTCTGAGTGTACACTTACTTGCACATACTGAACTCGTAGATCTTTGACCCTATCTGAGTTGCGCTCAAAGGGTACTCTGTACACTTGCTTCATGCGTACCCTGTAATAATAATAATAATAATAATAATATGCCATTTAGCAGACGCTTTTATCCAAAGCGACTTACAGTCATGCGTGC